TTCATCTAAGGGTCCATTTAGGAATGCACACTTCACGTCCATCTGACATATGTGCCAACTGTTGATTTCTGCTAGACCAACAACCAACCTGATTGTTTCGATCCTAGCCACAGGTGCAAAAACTTCGTCGAAGTCTATTCCTTCTTTCTGTAGAAATCCTTTCGCCACAAGTCTTGCTTTGTGTCGAGTTACTTCACCTTTTGAATTCGTCTTCACTTTGTATACCCACTTGACATTAATTGCCTTCTTGCCTTGAGGCAATTCGACAAGTGACCAAGTGTTGTTGTCTTCGATAGACTTTACTTCTTCATTCATTGCTTTCACCCACTTCGAATCTTTTAATGCTTCAGCTGCATTAACAGGTTCGACATCTGCATAGAAAGCATAATGTACCAGCTCACCTTCATCATCTATCACATCATCTGATGTAATCACACAATCTTGCAATCTTGCAGGCATGCGTCTTGTTCTTTGAGGTCTGCTTGTACTGGGTATATCTGTTGGCTTCTCTTGTCGAACTTCTCTTTCGACTTGAGTTTCTGGCTCTTCGAATAAGATTCCCACTGAATCTTTCTTGACATTTGCAGTCCAATCCCATTCTTTAAACTCATCTATGATCATGTCCCTGCTGATCACAATCTTCTTGTTCTCTGGATCGAACAACTTGTAGCCTCCTGTCGAATGATATCCAACTAGGATCATTTGACTTGACTTGTCATTAAGTTTCTTTCTCAACTGATCTGGCACATGTCTATGTGCAATAGATCCAAATACTTTCAGATGACTTAAGCTAGCCTTCACACCAGACCAACATTCTTCTGGAGTAATTCCTTCTAGCTTCTTTGTAGGACTTCTGTTCAAAATGTATGTTGCAGTCGAAACAGCTTCACCCCAGAACTCTTTGGGTAAATTCTTGCCTTTCAACATACTTCTCACCATGTTCATGATGGTTCGATTTTTCCTTTCTGCAATTCCATTTTGCTGTGGAGTATAGGGTGGCACCACCTCATGCACAATCCCTTCTTTTTCACATAATCTATCGAAGTCTTTCGACACATATTCTCCTCCACCATCAGTTCTCAAAACTTTGAGCTTTCGACCGCTTTGTCTTTCGACCATGGACTTGAACTTGGTGAATACTTCGAACACTTCACTTTTCTGCTTGATCGGGTAAGTCCATAGCTTTCGACTGAAATCATCTATGAATGTAACAAAGTATTTGTTACCTCCCATCGAATCCACCTGAATTGGTCCACATACATCAGAGTATATGACTTCGAGACTAGCCTTCGATCTGCTTCCTGCATCCTTGCTGAAGCTGTTCTTGTGTTGCTTCGCCTGCACACATTCTTCACATACTTCATTTGGAATGTCAATTTCAGGCAATCCTGAAACCATATTTCTTCTCTTCAAATCTCTGATGTCTCTGAAGTTGAGATGACCAAGTCTATAATGCCATATCCATTCATCTCTGCTAGCTGCAGTCGAAAGGCACTTGTGCTCTATCACATTTAGTTCAATCTTGAAGGTCCAATTCTGAGACATAGGAGCCTTCAAGATTAATCTCCCATTTGCATCAACGACTCTCATCAACTTATCTTCGATTGAAACTTTATAATTCTTTTCGACCAACTGCCCTATACTGAGCAAATTGCTCTTCATGCCTGGTATGTACAATACATTCGAAATTACTGACTTCTTGCCATCTTTCCTCATGATCATAACATCACCAATACCTTCAGATGCTAGTGTGTTGTCATTTGCAAATTTTACCATATTCTTCGTTGAGGGTTTTATATTGACGAACCAGTCTTTCCTTCCAGACATATGTGATGAACATCCTGAATCCAAGTACCATTGGTCCTTGAATCTGTCTTCATCTCTTGTTGTGACCATCAGCATCATCTCTTCTTCTTCTTCTTCTTCATGTTTTGCCAGCTTTGCATCACTTTCTTGATTCTTTCGTTTTTCTGGACAATCACTCGAATAGTGACCATACTTCTGACAATTGTAACATTGAATGTGACTCTTATCAGGTTTTCGACCACCACCTCTTCCTCTGTTTGCAGCACCACCTCTTTGGTTGCCTTGGTGTGGTCTTCTTTGATTCGACACGTCTCCTTCGATTTGGTTTCCTCTACCATTCGATTTGTTGTAGCCACCTCTACTTCTGTCGAAATACTTTCCTTTGCCTTTGGTCTCTTTTGTTGAATGTGCCTGCAAGGCCACATCACTCTTCGATTTTCCTGCAGCTCTTTCGTTCATTCTTTGTTCATGAGATTCAAGCGTCCCTTGAAGCTCTTCCTTTGTCAATTTCGACAAGTCTTTCCCCTCTTCTATCGCCACCACTATGTGGTCGAACTTAGGAGCTAAAGATCTCAAGATCTTCGACACAACAGCTCTTGTTGTTAACGCTTCTCCACATATCTTGATTTGATTTACTAGTTTTGTAACTCTAGTGAAGAAATCAGATATGTTTTCACTGTCTTCCATCTGAAGCAGTTCATAGGTCCTTTTGTGAGTTTGTAACCTCACTTCTTTCACCTTCTCAGCGCCTCCAAAAGATTTCTCCAGGATCACCCAAGCTTCTTTTGCAGATTCTGAATCACTAATCTTTTCGAAGTTGTCTGGGCTGACACATTGATGAATTATAAACAATGCTTTATAACTCTGTTTCTCAGATTCTGTGTATTTCTTCTTTTCTTCTTCTGAAGCGTTTTTGCCAAGCGCTTCGACTCCATCTTTTACAAGGTCCCAAAGGCCTTGACACCTTAATAGGACTTTCATCTGCTTGCACCAATTCTCATAGTTGTCAACTTTTAGAATTGGCAGCGTTGCTGGATAGTTTGCATTCCCATAACTTGTCATCGTGAATTCTTTAATCGTTCTTGATTGACACTTCCCTTGAATCGTAACACAAGCTCTTGATACCAGATGTTGGAAATCCACCAATACTCTATGATGAATTTCGACCACCACTGATGATTAGTTATGACAAACAAATAAAAGAACAATGGAGATATTTCTGCAGAATTTCTATTCTGCCCACAAACTGTGGAATCTTTATTAATTCACTTTGCAACTGCAAAATACTGTGAATGAGTTGATTACAAAATAGGGATTACTCCCTCTATTTATAGATTTATGTTAGCTTGCTACCTAAGCTAAACCCAAGCCCAAAATATCTCTTTACTAAATCAAATTTAATCTAGATTTAAATTCAAATCTATTTAAATCTAAACAAATCAATTCTTCTTTTGACACCTATGAATTACAATTTAACAATCAGCGTATATTGATGCACATTCTCTTATGTTTGTACTTAGGCATTTCTATGGTTTGTTTTGTTTATTTTTCTATTTTATGATGTTTTTATAATTTAATTTATTTTTATTTTTAATTGATTTTCGTATTTATTTTCAGCATTAACAACTTTCAATGAAAAAATCATAATTGGAGCTTCGGGAATCAGATCGGCGCGTTCTAATAATCGTTAGAAAGCTGAGAGAAATATCTCCAACTTTTATTTTGGAGTCAGAAGCTGATTCGGAGTGTATAATTCTCAGTAATTCGTTGAAGTTTCAGACGTTAGAAAACAATTTGTTTTGGGTCATTTTATGGGTCTGGTTTATGTTTCCGACCCTGTTTGAGTTAACAGTGAAAAACCCTACTTTGTTTATAAGTTTTGAGTCGTGCTAGAAAAGAAATATAATTCACTTTTCACGAGAAAAAATACATTTTGCTTTTACGATTGTGATGAGGAACTAAACATCCAGAGTCAATCCGCTGTAACCGCGTTTTCAACACTTTGATGTTTTTACTTTATCAATCAAATTCGTTCTCTTTCAATATTATTTTGTGATTTACATTTGCTTAATCTGTATTACATAAAATTGTTTTGATTAAATTCGTATGATTGGATTCCTAACGTTTATTCCCTGTTATGTCGCTTTGTCGTTAATCCGCGTTTGTAATTCGTGTTTGCTTAATTCACGAGGGCTTAATCCGTGTTTGCTTAATTCGAAATAGGAATCCAATATGTTTGTATTTGTTGCGTTAGACAATAGGTATAGAAATCGAATAGAGATTGAATTTATATGTTTACAAATTTATTTAATTTAAAAATTATAAAAAATAAAAATAGTAATAACTTGTAAGTAGAAGTGAAAAGTTAGTGTGGTAGTTAGATTTATTTTCATGAAAATATTGGATTCTCATCTTTTAACTATGAAAATAAAATAAAAATAGAAAAATCACGTATAAATAAGATTTTTAAAAATAAAATATACTTTAAAATAATTTTTTAAAACTTAAATCAAATATGAGTATGTTGCATTTTCATGATCATGTTTCTTAAAATATTTTTTATAATCTTAAAATAAATACACTCTTTATTTTCTTTCTTGACAAAGACACACAAATAATGAAATAAAAAAAAAGGAGAAAACCCTGATGTTTTGTTTTTGATTTTTTGGTGTCTTTTTTATATGTTTATGTTGAATAAAAAAATTGGGTGAGGTTCATCTAATTTAATGAATTTAAATTGAAAAAAAAAATGTAATATATTTGAGAAACTAAACAACTTCCTCTCAATTTTTGCAAATATTGAAGTGATTTTATTCTAAATTCCTCATTAATATTATCCTTGTCTTTTAAAAAAATACTTTTCTTCCTTTTTAAGAAAACTTAAGTAGTATTACTTTCCTAAAAAATGATAGTATTATCATAATTATGGTTGTATGTGTTTAATTCCAATCATGCCACGTTTATTTCCACCCATTAGTAGTAATAATAATAATAAAAAAAAAATCTTTTCCATTTAAAGAAATTGGTCAAAAATAGTAAACTCTAATTCAAAATGGTAAAAAAAAAAAAAAGATGATGATGACCAAATATCAATAATCATAAAAAGACCAAGAGACCAAATTTTCTTGTCCATATAGTACTTCCCACTAACCAACCCTGTTTCTATTGTTTTCCCCCTTTTCAGAAAACCAAACATGTTCACTCTCACCACCCTCCACAAACTCTTTCTCTTTTCTTTCTTCACTTCAATCATTTTCTTCCTCACACCTTCAATCTCTGCTTCTTCTAACACCTTAACAACAACCCAAATCCTTAGAATCAACGAAACCCTCTTGTCCCCAAACGGAATCTTCCAACTCTTTTTCTTTTCATACACTAATTTCTCTTGGTACTTGGGAATATGTTACACCATAGATAATGACAGAACAGTGGTTTGGGTTGCAAACAGAAACACCCCAATTCAGAATCCCAATTCTTTTCTCCAATTAACCGACACAGGAAGCCTCGTTATCATAGATCAATCCAATGAAACCATCTGGGCTAGTATTCAAATCAATAAAAATTCAACCTTTAACAACAAAAACCCAATTCTTCAGCTTTTGGATTCTGGGAATTTGATTGTAACAGAATCACGAAACGAAAACGACCCAACAAAGATTCTATGGCAAAGTTTCGATTTTCCAACCGACACTTTGTTACCTGGCATGAAACTCGGTTGGAATTTCGACACAAACACAGAAACATACATTAATTCATGGAAGGTAACAGAACAAGACCCTTCCAATGGAGACATATCTTTCAAGATGGATTATCAAGGTATCCCAGAGATTTTCCTATGGAACAAAAACAAAAGAATTTACAGAAGTGGACCATGGAATGGTAAAAGATTCAGTGGTGTACCAGAGATGCAACCGGTTACCGATTCGATTCAATTCAGTTTCGTCGAGAACGAACACGAGGTTTACTACACATTCACAATTGGGAAACAGTCCTTATTTTCAAGACTCAGTGTGACTCCATTAGGTGAACTTCAAAGACTGACATTTATAAATAGCAGAAGCTTTTGGAGTAAATTCTGGTATGCACCAAAAGACCAATGTGACCATTACAAAGAGTGTGGCCCGTTTGGTGTATGTGACACAAACGGTTCACCTGTTTGCAGTTGTATAAAAGGGTTTAGACCCAAGAATCATCAAGCATGGAATTTGAGAGATGGATCTGATGGGTGTTTGAGGAACAATGAGCTGGATTGTGAGAGTGATAGGTTTTTGCGTATGGTGAATGTGAAGTTACCTGAGACGAGTAGGGTTTTTGTGAATAGGAGTATGGGGATTTTGGAGTGTGGTGAGATGTGTAAGAGGAATTGTTCTTGTAGTGGTTATGGGAATGTTGAGGTTGTGAATGGTGGAAGTGGTTGTGTTATGTGGGTTGATGAATTGGTTGATATTAGAGTTTATCCTGCTGGAGGTCAAGAGCTTTTTGTCAGATTAGCAGCTTCTGATGTAGGTATGTTTATTTCTGTTTTCTTCGATTTTCTACTTCATACTTGGATATATGCATTTGGATGATTGAATCTGATAAAAATTAGTGACTAAGAAAGAATATTCCAGGTCGTATGACATGGTGAAGTAGACTTGCCTGGAATATAGGAATTACTTGTTTGTCATGTAGCAAAACTAAATAGTTATTTTAATTAAAAATATGTGTCTTTGATTATGCCATATTGTCTCTCTAGAATCTATAATTTGATAGGTTAAGAATACAAGATTTTTGTAACTTGAAGATAATTGCTTGCTTTTTGTTTCTTTTCTTAAATTTCACTTTTATAATTATTGTTTTTTTTTTTAACTAACAAAATCAGATTCAGAGCTACTCTCTCCATTCTTATTTATAAACAAATTTTGACTTATACATTTGATGTATTATTCAATGATATATATATGTAATTGTGATGGAGTTATCTTGTTTAATACTACGAGTCAGTAATGAAGTTCAACAATAATTTTTCAGTTTGATTACCGATTCCTTGACTCTGGCAATTTAATTAAAAGTGAATTGAATGCAAACCATTAATGATAAAAGAAATATCAAATGTGTTAAGTAAACATTAATGATAAAAATATCCCATATAACATGCACGGGAATAGTGAGATGCTGAGGTGACTTAGATTTTTTGATTGACTCACTTGAGGGGAGATAGATATTTAGACCAACTGATGTTATGGTGTACGGATGGTTAGGAGAGAAGTATGTTTGTGTGAACTTGACTGGAGTTTCTCCACTGATGAGGTTGAGGCCTAGTGGTTTTACTGTGGGACATACAACTCTCAACTTTTTTAAGTAAAAGTGGTCAAACATGAGAAAGTGTGTTCGACCATCAACATGTTTTTATACCATTTGTCTTTGACACTTTTAGTTTTCTAGCACCAAAAACAGTTGAGCTTTTACATACCATGTTGTATCTTTTAGGTCTATGAATGTAGTTTTTAAAGATGATTGATTTTGCGATCCAAAAAAAAGTTGTGACGTAGCTTGTTGCTCGTTTCTCTTCTATTTATGTATAAACTTTTATCAACTTTAGTTAATTTTGTACAAAAATAAAAATGACTTAAATGTTTCTAGCTTAAACCTAACTTAATAAAAATATAAAAATATAAGTTTGTAACATGTCATAAGTTTATTATTAAGTTTAACTTGATATTTTTGAAGGTCTGATTCGTCTATTAACCTATTTAAAAATATATATATAAATATGTCATAATGTTCATATATACTAAAAAACTAAAAGATAAATGATACAAAAAGTTTGTTTGCAATATAACTTATTTGAACTTGAGGTTATCTAGCTGTGTGTTGTCGGAAAAAAAACATGTGCAAACTGTTCTTGATTAGTTAGGTCAGTTAACATAATCAAATAAATACAAGGTTTAAAGGACTTTTAATAATGTTTTGTGGGTCCATTATAAGACTCTAGCTGTCATAAGGACGGTGTTATGGGCCTTCAAATTTTAAATTGTGGTGGGTTGTGGGCCAACAATGTTGACTTGTGTGACTCTCTACATTTACTTTTCACACCCTACAATTGCCGTCGTGCAATCAATGCAGAACATAGTGATGATCTTCATGTTTATCTTCTGTGTTTCATGTTTCTAAGAAGAAAGATTTTGTGTTTCTTTTTGTACAAAATCACTTCCCATTTATAGTGTTATCTAAACCAAGTATGTTGCATATTCGAACCCTCACCCATATAATTAGATGTGTCTGCAATTATCAACTGAGTTGGACTAACCAGATTTATTAATAAATGCACTTCATAAAAAGTATGATCCTTTATTTGACAAAATATCTAAGGAGAGGGATCTAGTATTTAAAATGGAGCCCTCCACCTTATGTGGTGGGACAAAAAAGGGGATTTTTTTAATCTACTTTGTTAAAGTTAAATGTCTTCTCAAACGGTAAAGGATCCATTAAATTGCATAAACAAACAAAAATCTTTCTCCTCTTTTTCTACTTAGCCTTTTTGTGACTGATTATTTATAAGAAAAGGCATCATTAAAATATAAAAGTTGGTCTGATTTTACAAGTACATAAAAGGAAAAGTGAGTGTTGCCTCCTCTAAATTATTGTGCAAAATCATATTGCTACTTTGGTGCATGATACTGATACCCTCTGTTGCTTTGTACAGTGTACTTGATCAAAATGACAATAGCACTTTCTATTGGAAGATTCACATGCTTATGTTTAACCTCAATTAATTTGTACTTACATATCTTAATGCTAGAATCACTGTTTCTTTTATTAAAAAAACTAAATTAAATGGAAAGTGGATATTATTCTCATCTACATAAATTATTTCTCAGATGATGATGTGCTAAGAGAAAGTTCTGACCACAAGACAGCTAAGGCTATAGGTATTGTTGTTGGGGGTGCAGCCATTATATTTCTGGTGTTAGGAATATGTTTCTTGTGGAGGAAGAAAAAGTTACGATGTCTATTGAATTTGAAAGAGAAGAGAGAAAGAAGAGGTAATGTACAAGTGTTGTATCACATATATGAATGTGCAATTGTGCATGCATGAACTGTGTGTAGAATGACGAAATTGTTTGCTTGTTGTTCTTAAAAGCAGGTTCATTGGAAAGAAGTCAAGATTTGCTTATGACCGACGGAGTCTTTACAAGTAATAGAGAACAAACAAATGAAAATAACATGGATGAACTAGAATTGCCATTCTTTGATTTTAATACCATAACAATAGCTACAAATAATTTTTCTCATGAGAATAAACTTGGACAAGGAGGCTTTGGTATTGTTTACAAAGTAAGTTTTTTTTTTTGCAACTGTCGCCACGATAACGATAATAGTTAATATTCGTGTATCGTCCGGTAAATATAACACAAAACACAAATAACTCTGGTTACATCAGGGTAGGTTGATGGAAGGTCAGGAAATTGCTGTGAAGAGATTATCGAAAAATTCGGGCCAAGGTGTTGAAGAGTTTAAGAATGAGGTCAAGTTGATTGTCAAGCTTCAACATCGAAATCTTGTTCGGCTACTTGGTTGCAGCTTTCAGATGGATGAGAAGATGTTAGTGTATGAGTACATGGAAAATAGAAGCCTTGATGCCATTTTATTTGGTGAGTTAATTTAATTTCAACATTTATATATTCATGTTTTGTTTTCATATGCTTGATTTCTTAATGTGTATACAAATGTTTGATATCCAGACAAGACTAAAAAATCCTCACTCGATTGGAAAACGCGCTTCAATATTATATGCGGAATAGCTAGAGGACTTCTTTATCTTCATCAAGATTCAAGGTTTAGGATTATCCATAGAGATCTTAAGGCAAGCAACATTCTACTTGATCGAGAAATGAACCCTAAGATATCCGACTTCGGGATGGCTAGAATTTTTGGCACGGATCAGACAGAGGCGAATACAGTTAGAGTTGTTGGAACATAGTGAGTACCTAAGTAACACACTACCACTCTAAAAGAGCCGAACTTAATAATGATCTAATTATCTTACTATTTATAAACAATTTTGTTATGTGCAGTGGTTATATGTCTCCTGAATATGCTATGGACGGAATCTTCTCGGTGAAATCAGATGTTTTCAGTTTTGGCGTACTTGCGATGGAAATCATAAGTGGAAAAAAGAACCGAGGTTTCTATTCCGCAAGTAAAGAATTGAATCTTCTTGGTCATGTACGTAGAAAAGCTACTTTATTAATTGTTATTCACTATTTTACAAACTTAATAGTATCATCTCTTGCTGGCTAACGATAAATTGATCTTTTTGTAGAGTTGGAAGCTGTGGAAAGAAGGAAATTCTTTGGAGCTAATAGATTCGTCCATAATTGATAATTCATATTTACCATCTGAGGTTCTTAGATGCATACAAGTTGGATTATTATGTGTACAAGAGAGAGCAGAAGATAGACCAACAATGTCTTCAGTGGTTTTGATGTTGAGTAGTGAAACAGCAACAATAGCACAGCCCAAAAACCCTGGATTTTGCCTAGGAAGCATTCCTATTGAAACCGATTCTTCATCAAGTAAACAAGACGAATCTTGCAGCGTGAACCATGTTACTGTCACAATGGTAGATGGCAGATAGTAGAAGGAAGGGATCAATGAAATTGTGATTATATATACTTGTGATTTGTTAGTGATATTTGTTTACATAGAAAAGCAATTTACTTGGTTTTCAAATTTTTGAAGGTAAGATTGAAATGAAAAAGTTTATGTTTCATTACAAATCAATCGGGTCGATCGATATGAAATTTTTTTGTATGTATCGAATTGTCAATTTTGTCTTTAACTTTGTATCAAACATATGAATGACGATTTGATTATTATTTTTAAACACCTTAACCTTCTAAGCCTAATTACGTGTGCGTCTCTCATGTGTCTCTAAAGTCAAATTCTTTTACATTTATTCCTAGCCAGGTGCATGCATGAAAAGAAGCCATTCTGTATTCACTAGAATATACTTAGTCGTATCATTCGGTGTCGGTGTTTCATTGTTCCATGGCGTTGAAAATAATTAAGCAGCCATCCAAAGACAAGATATAATAGTGACACAGTAAAGAGTTGATGACTCCAAATCATGTCTTGTTGAAGAGTAAAGTTTGGGTCAGTTTGAGTATTTATATTTTTCGCCTGATAAAATGCAAGACGGGTATGAAAGAGGAACTCAATGGACTATGCTAAAAATCTCCTCTATCTTGTTATAATCTCTTTGATTCTACTTCTTCTTAGCTTCTCTTTTTGCTCTTGTTCTTCTGATACCATATCTACTGACAAACCTACTATGGTGAGCTTCTTGTTTCTAAATCTAAAACCTTTGCTCTTGGATTCTTCACTCCTGGAAAGTCCACCTCTCGCTATGTTGGAATTTGGTACTACAATTTGCCAATCCAAACTGTTGTTTGGGTTGCAAATAGAGATACTCCAATCAATGATACTTCTGGAATACTATCAATCAACCCGAGTGGAAATCTAGTACTCCACCACAACCTTAGCACCATTCCCATTTGGTCTACCAATGTTTCGTTACCACAATCACAAACAAATAGCACCAGTGTTGTTATAGCTCAACTACCGGATATAGCAAACTTTGTTCTCATGCTAAACAATACCAAAACTGTTAAATTCAATCATGGAAGACAGATGAGGACCCTGGAAAAGGTACATTTACTTTTAAATTCAACACCATTGGCAAACCTCAGATGCTTATGTACAACCGGAACCTTCCTTGTGGCGTGGTGGACCATGGAATGGAGAACTATTTGCAGGTGTACCTAATATGAAACGAGGTATGGCCACATGGAATGGAGAACTATTTGCAGGTGTACCTAATATGAAACGAGGTATGGCCACTTTTAACGTTTCATATGTTGAAGATGACAACTATTCAGCACTCTCATTTAACATGTTTGATAAGTCTATCATTACTAGGATAGTGATTCAGCAATCTGGTTTCTTTCAAGCATTCACGTGGGACAGTCAAAAGAGTCAATGGAACCGTTACTGGTCTGAACCAACGGACCAATGTGATAACTATGGAACATGTGGATCAAACAGTAATTGTGACCCTTTGAACTTTGAGGACTTTAAGTGTACTTGTTTAGTTGGTTTTGAACCAAAACTTGCACGTGATTGGTATGAGAGTAGAGGTGGGTCAGGAGGGTGTGTTAGAAATAAAAATGCATCTGTTTGTGGGAATGGAGAAGGGTTTGTCAAAGTTGTAAGCTTGAAAGTTCCTGATACATCTGTGGCAGCTGTTAAACGTGGTTTAAGTTTGGAAGAATGTGAGGAAGTATGCTTGAGAAACTGCTCTTGTGCTGCCTATGCTCCTGCTGATGTGAGGAATGGCGGAAGTGGGTGTTTGGCATGGTATGGGGATTTAATGGACATTCAAAAACTTAGTGATCAAGGCCAAGATATATTTTTACGCGTCGATAAAGTTGAACTAGGTAAGATATTCCCTCCTACTGTGGTTTTCTTTCTAAACTTGACACCACTTAGATGTAGGGTGTCTTTGTAATCTCAAGCGACGTGATTCAAATTTCACCTAGAACAGTTGTAAGATGGCATTTAATGCCACCGTAACAATAGCTGTAGTTTGAACTTCTCTGGACTTATTTCTTCTTATCAGCAAATTACTACAAAAAAAGAAAAGGAGTCCTTGATAAAAAGAGCTTGGCTGCAATTCTGGTAGCTTCTATTGTTGCAATTGTCCTCCTCTTTTCCTATGTTTATTGCATGTGGAATAAAAATAGAAAAGGTATGTGATCTATTTTTAAGGATGGTATATTCTGTTCTTTATATTTCATTGAAATTTGCAATCTGAGACTTACAGACAGTCTCCTACTAGTTTCTTAGTTTTCAACGAGATAGATGTATAGTCTAAGATTTTTTGGAGAGCCAAGAAGAAATATAGACTTCAAAGTTTGTAAGTTGGTTGAAATCTTACCTCATGCCATTTGTAACTTGCAGATAAAATGATGCGGCAATTAAACCAAGATTCCTCTGGAGAAGAGAACGGTCCTCAAAGCAACACACGTCCAAATCTACCCTTTTTCAGCTTCAGAATGATAACAGCGGCTACAAGCAATTTTAGTAATGAGAATAAGCTAGGACAAGGTGGATTTGGTTCTGTCTATAAGGCAAGTGAAACTCTATATTGAGGTATCCATTGCAATAAGTGACAACATCAATTCATTTCAATCATATTAAAGAGATCAATATTTCAGGGTTGCTTAGTTAATGGACAAGAGATAGCAGTGAAAAGATTGTCAAAAGATTCAGGTCAAGGCAAAAAAGAGTTTAAAAATGAAGTTACACTTTTAGTAAAACTTCAACACAGGAATCTAGTGAGGTTGCTTGGTTGTTGCTTTGAGAAACAAGAAAGAATGCTGGTTTATGAATACCTACCAAACAAAAGCCTAGACTTCTTTATATTTGGTATGCCTTTCTCTAACTCACCCATTGTTTCTCTATCCTGGAAATAATCTCTACATACATGCCAAAAATGCAAATAAAAGAATTTTCTTTTCCATTGCATATTTTGATTAACTTCTATGAATTTAAGCTCAATATGCCATTTCTAAATATGTTCAAGTTATGGAAATTTTACTTGAAAAACTCAGATCAAACCCAAAGGTCATCATTGGATTGGGGTAAGCGATTTGAAATTATTTGTGGGATTGCTCGAGGTGTTTTATATCTTCATCAAGATTCAAGGCTGAAAATAATTCATAGAGATCTTAAAGCCAGCAACGTTCTCCTTGATGCTGCAATGAATCCCAAAATCTCAGATTTTGGTATGGCTAGAATATTTGGAGAATATGAAATTCAAGCAAGGACAAAAAGAGTGGTCGGAACATAGTATGTGTCATATACTCTTATAATCATCTAGATTAAAGAGATGAATATGTATTTTTTTTACGATGGTCTAACTATTGTGTACAATTGCAGTGGATATATGGCCCCAAAATATGCAATGGAAAGATTATATTTAACAAAATCTGATGTCTTCAGTTACGGGGTCTTACTACTAGAAATCATTGCTGGCCAAAGAAACACTCATTGCGAAACAAGAAGATCCTCCCCAAATTTAATTGGATATGTAAGTTATAAAAATTGGCAAACAGTTTAATGATGATGTATTTATTTAGAGAGACTGTGTTGTGCCTTTGTAGGTTTGGACACTATGGACAGAAGAAAAGGCCTTGGATATAGTTGATCTAGCACTAAACAAGTCTTATCCTTCTGATATAGTTCTGAAATGCATTCAAATTGGACTCTTGTGTGTGCAAGAAAATGCCACGAATAGACCATCGATGCTAGAAGTTGTTTTGATGCTAGCCAATGAAACACCTCTCTTCCCACCTCAAAAACCTGCATTTTTATTAATTGGAAATCAAGTTTTGCAAGAGTCTTCAACATCAGGAGGAAGTTCTTCAATAAATGAATTAACAGAAACTACGATTAGTGCTCGTTAAAAGCTACGCTAATGAAATGTGTAATTTTTGTTCATACTTTTCCTAAAGAATTGAGTTTGCAGACATTTCTAGAGGTTCCTTAGAAACAGGTATGTTCAATCACTGTGCTATTGTAAAATAAATACTTGAGTAAGAGTCTGTTTCAATAAGCTTATCAAATGATTATGGGGTTCTAATGGTTATCGTTGGAAATTCCGCTTTCATTGTGGTTCGTCTCTAGTTGGCTAACTGTGACATTTGTCTTGACTTCATTGTAGCTTCCTACACCTTAAGTGTGTTGGGTTTAAAGGGGTAGATTGAGTCCCACATTGCTTAAATATATGGCTTTTGTAGTGTTTATAAAGTTTGTGAAACCCTCATCTTAGAAGTTGGTTTTGTAGGAATGAGTTATGCGCAATCCACACATTCTTAGATGATAATATCACAGTATCCTATATTTGTTGTTGATCCTGCCTTCATTGCAGTCCGTCCCTAGTTGTTTAATTGTGGAATTTTTTTACTTACCTTCATCTGCAGCCCACAACACCTTAGTTGTGTGAAATTGTTTGTTTATTTTTATAAAGTTCGGACAACCCTCATTTTACAAGTCATTTTTGTAAAAATAAGTTAGGACCAACCCACACATTCTAAGAGTTATTCTAAAAGTTTTGTAGAAATAAGTTAGGACCAACCCACACATTCTAAGAGTTATTCTAAAAGTTTTGTAGAAATAAGTTAGGAATAAGCCGGTTGTCAATCGACACTATTGAATGTATGTTAGGTTAGACTAAAATTTCAGTTTGCTGTAACTATTAAAACTATCTGTTTGCATAGTTTTTACCTGCTACAGTAGGTCATAATGTTTGCTATATATAGGGCAAACCGTTATTAGCTTTGTAACTAACTTTTCATAATGAAATTTAGTTACATTATAAATGAAAGTTTATATTTTATTTTCTAATTTGATATCAGATTGATGAGTCGGTCTATGACAACGATTAGTCATAGTTATTTGGAATGAATCATTTTGGATGGCGCTTCATACTTTCCTATCAACGGAATTAAGATGGATACACGTACAACCTTTTTAATAACCATAATTTTCACCATTGAAAATTATGGTTATTATATGTCCCTTTAGGTTCGGAATTCATAATCTAATAAGCAATTTCGAAGCACAAGATAAACCGGTGCTCAGATAGCACTCGTTAGACGATAGACTACAATTTAGAGGGTGGGTGAATAGATCGCAAATGAATTTTTCTTATTTAAAACATGTGTTTTAAAAGTGTTCAACTATGGCGTGCACAAACAATTCTGGATCGACAATCGTCTATCTCAAATCGTTATTGAAAAGATTGGATATGCGTTAAACTGATAGAACGAATACGTGAGATGAGAAAAACAATCAATATATTTTCAGCAACCACGTTTGAATAATATCATAAAATATTAATCAATTTCCAATGAGATATCAAACAAAAATAGACTTAAGCAATTTGTTGAACAGTCGATGTGCAATCAATTCAAATCATATTTTCTTTGGTTTTGTTGATATGAGAAACCAATTACAATCACATAGATTGCAATCAGCTCAACAAAACAGCTTGAAATATTAGACAAAGAAATTATCTCAATGTATCAATTGCACAATCATTTATTTCACAATTTGCAAGTAAATGTAAATGTGAGACAGAGAGATAAGGATTTGTTTAGGCAGTTCCCCAATCGGTCTCGCTATGGGTACGTCTTCCCCCAATTCTAATAGAATTGAGATAATAAAAATTGACCTTTGCAAATGTAGTTTACAAGAGAAAAAGTAGCAACTCAACCCTCCAAATCCTAAGTTTGATGTTGATTATATCTTCTTCTTTTTCCTTGATCAGAGCTTGATCAGGGTTTGTGTAATGATGAATATGTATTATTAAATGTGTCTATCACTATGGGTAGAAATTTAGGTTTGTTTTGGGGTTTGTGATAATTTTGTCATGATGAATTGGTGATGAAATTGATGAATTTAAAGTGTATAATTCATGTGAAATGATACATATAACATGTATATTGATGTGTTGTTGTTATGGTATAATTTAATGCTAAATTTTGATGAAATTGGAATTGTACTATGGTAGAATCGTAAGGAATTAGGACTGGAACTAGTGCAGAAATCGCAACAAAGGATTGTTGTTTTGTATGCATCGCCGGCAAATCAACCGCGAGCGAGCATGCGAGCTAGTTGCCTCTGCTTTGCCATGCGAGCCAAGTGGCGAGTGTCTAGGTGAAAAAACAAGGTTCCTGAAAAATGTATGGTAGTGTAGGCCTCTCCTATGCCTCAGGCGACGGACCCAGTCTTCGGGCGAGCCTCAGGCAAAGCAGTACTGTAGCAGAAATTTTTTGAAAACTTTGAAATTCTATAATTTTTGACTCGGATGTCCGTTTGACGCACTGTTCGAATCCTCGGAAAGTTAAAATTATTTTCTATCCTATAAAAATACTTTCAAAACTAGTAGGTAATTATTTGTTAGATACTTATACCTTTTTGTAAGTAATTCTCTCTGTTGTGTTGAGATATGTGCATGTACTTATGAATGATAATGATGTGCGATGTTATTTGGACTGTATGATTAGTATGTAGTATGTGTGGGTAGGTGGTGGCCGTATCAGTGTGTCACATTGATAGGTAGATTATCAATGTGTGTTGTTTTGTTGCATGGTTGTGTTGCATGCATTTCTTGTTGGGGAGTTCGGTCCTGTTTGTTGGTTCTGATCCTAGATGACATGGATTGGGAGTAATGTTATTGGCTCTTCAGGAGCGAAGTGAACCAAACTGTTCACGGTATTGGTGGCTCTGGTCCTAGATGGCATGGATTCAGGAGTGATATTGGTACCATATGCATTGAGTTTGTGAGTCGGTCTTGTTGCATTGCATCGTTGTTAACATGATGTATGAGTTGTGTAACCGGTGCATATGCTACATGACGATTGTTAATAGGTGTGATGATTATGCATGATTGTGTAGTTATTATTTAATAAGACTGTTGTTGTTATGCGAATGTGTGAGATGTGGAATATGTGGCTATGCATGATTTACTTGTTGTATACTCATTATTATGCATTCTATCATATTATGGTGATATCTCACTCTTATGTTGGAAAGATGCTTTATACGACATCGTGTAGATAGTAAGGAGTAGTCTGAGGCTGCAAGGATCAAAAGAGGTTTCTATTCGTTTATTGTCGAGTCGATGTCATTGCTCTGACACGTAACACCAGAGGGATGAACACTATTTATTGTTTTGTTTTAGTAATTGTTTGGAGGTTCATGGACTCCTTATGAATTTTGAATATGCATTGATTTATTTTAAAAGATTGTTGAATTTCAAATATGATTCTTTTCCCGCTGCATTAATAAAGGTTGAAGTTGAGACTTGTTACTTTGCTTTGGTTCATCCGAAAATTTGTGTTATGTGTCTATTACTATCTATGAGCAGGTATTTGTATGTTTTTGAAAATGTGACATCCTAATTTACATAGAAATTACTTTGATATTTGTATATTATTTGTCGGGTAGTTTGGGGTGTTACTTTAGTGGTATCAGAGCAGGTTGGTTCGTCCGACCGGGTTGTTGAGTCTATATATTATTGTGACAGTTGAATAATGTTGGTCTGTTTCTTTTAACCGTTGTTTGTTGTGATGGTATGAAACAATGAAATGGATAGAAGAAACGATGATGCGATTGCAACCTCTTTGTAGGTTGTTGTTCAGGTTGTGCAACACCAGGCTAATATTGGCGGGAATGATGGGTACCGTGTCTTGGAAACTTTTCAGAGAAATCACCCGCCTATTTTCAAGGGTACGTATGATCCTGACGGAGTGCGGGTTTGGCTGAAATAGATTGAGAGGATCTTTCGAGTCATGGACTGCTCGAATGCACAGAAGGTGCGGTTTAGTACGTATATACTAGCTGGAGAGGCATATGATTGGTGGGGTGGCACCTGTCAGAGGATGGAAGGTGTAGGTGAGGTAATTACTTGGGCGGTGTTCAGCAAGGAGTTTCTGAGAAAGTATTTTCTAGAACATGTACGCAGGAAGAAAGAGATAGAATTTCTGGAGTTGAAACAAAGGAGTTTGTTTGTAATTGAGTATGCTACTAAGTTCGTGGAACTGACAAAGTTCTACGCACACTACAGTGAAGAAACTGTTGAGTTCTCGAAGTGTATCAAGTTTGAGAATGATTTACGCCCAGAGATCAAGTAGGCGATTGGTTATCAACAGATTCGTAGATTTCCGGAGTTGGTGAATAGCTGTAGAATTTACGAAGACGATAGTAAGGCTTATTATAAGATTATGAGCGAGAGGAGAGGCAAGCCACATCAAAACCGTGAGAAGCCTTACAATGTTCCAGCTGACAAGGGAAGACAAAAAATTGTTGATAGTAAGAGGCTAAGTGGGGGAGGTGCTTCTGCTAACCTCTGATGTTTCAAATGCGGTGAGCTGAGACATCGAATCAGTGAATGTTTGGGCGATGTGAAGTGTTTTCGTTGTGGAAAAGTTGGTCATGGTGTAGCTGATTTCAAACACAAGTCAATGATATGTTTCAATTGCGGTGAAGAGGGACATATCAATACTCACTGTTAGAAGCTAAAGCAAGCTCAATCCAGTGGGAAGGTGTTTGCTTTAGCAGGAAATCAGACATCCAGTGAAGACAGACTGATCAGAGGTATATGTTTTATTTATAGTACTCTTTTAATTGCTATTATTGATATTGGTGCTATGCATTCTTTTATTTTCGTTGATTGTGTGAAAATGTTGAATCTTGTATTGTCTTCTATGAATGGGAAAATGGTTATTGAGATTCTAGCTAAGAAACCGGTGACTATTTCTCTAGTATGCTTGAGATGTCCTTTATCAATCTTTGACAAAGATTTTGCTGTGGATCTAGTTTGTTTGCTGTTGAGTGGTATGGATGTGATCTTAGGTATGAACTGGTTGGAATCCAATTGTGTTCACATTAACTGCTACAA